TAGACAGCAAGCATGCTCATGCCTCTGCTTTTGGTGCATCCATAAAAGAGGCAAATCTAAAAAGGTTAGACTTCAGTGCAAAGGAAGGGAATATGCCCTTATACATAGATATCTTCTATATTCTTATGATCCACCCTGAACTGGAGATTAGAACGTAGCCTCTGGCTTCTGTAAGATCCTGAATCATGAAATAAAATAAATGAAATAATGTTCACTGCAAGGTTTTCATTAAACTAAAAATGTGAAACAATGTATTTTAAAGGATGCTCCATAGCAAGAACTAATTATCTATACTATTTATTTCTTGTCCTTATTTCTATCCTACCCCTTCCCAGAAAAGAATTTGGTTTAGTTCTAAGTTAACCAGAAAATTTTGCTAATTTCAACTTTCTGTTCCCTAATAACACTATTTAGTTTAGGTTGTATTTAGCTACAATTAAAATCAACAAATTCCTAAGTCAGTCTTTCTCTCTCTCTCTCTCGCATGCTCTATTACTCTCATTCTTGTTTGTAAACTCAAGACTTTATTTAAAAAGAGTTATTGATGGGGAAAACAGAGCTGGTGGGGATTACTGGCAAAAGGCTGGACCACACCCCTGGTTGACTTTACTTAGGCCCATTGTTTTCATCATGTGTAGAAACATTATATCTCTATGTGACTTACAGTTATAAAAATGGAATGTGGCTAAGAATATTACTGAGTTAGTACACAAAAGGACCACAGTATATAATTTTGTTCCACACTATATATTTTAAGCTCTAAAATCGATTGCAACACTTCCTGAATTTTTCAAGGTATTTTTTCTTCATCCACTGAATGTGAAGAGACATTTTAAATTAACTTCAAGACTTTGAAGCCAGGTAAAATGTAAAGTTTAGAATATTTCTTCTGATTGTGGCTATGATAATTTTAGAAATATTCATTATTTCTTAAATGTATTTCCAAAAAGTCAATATTATTTTAAGTTATTATTGAGTCAGTATTAGATTCCCAGTATTGGTTAGGTGCATATATATATTTCTCTGATGCTGAAAACTATATAGTACCTCTCTCTGATAGGAAGAAAAAACTCTATACTCCTCAGTCTGGAGTTCAAAGTTCTCCATAATCTCAGTTTACTGTTTGGACAGTTTGTCTCTCAATATCCTCTTCTCCATCAGGACAAACTACTCACTGCATTGGCCTTGAACTTCAACATATCCAAGAGTTGGCTCTTCCCATTTCCTCTGCCTCAAAAGACTTACCTGTGGCTTCCACCAGGCTGACTTCTCCAGCATAAGGCAGAGTGCAGGTTTCACACTTCAGAAGTTCCTGACCATTTGCTCCCCGAGACAGTTCCGCGTTTCTACAGTTCAGTGTTGCCTGTTCACCTGGGCCCTGCCTTGGATCACCAGGTCTTTTAGAGCACATGGATGCTATCTCTGCACCTAAATTTGAGTTTTATCCTTTGTATTTTTAACTATTCTAGAACTATACCTTAAGAGTTCACTCTCAATACATATTTTTTAATTACCTGAAACATTAAACATCATAGTTTCTAAGCATTTTGGGAAAATCAAGCAAAAATATGATACTTCACTTTTTTTAATGTAAGCAAAGAATAAATTCCAAGAAAAAACAGTAATAGTTGAGCTGATTACCCTGCAACCCACAAAAGTAGGTTTACTTTTTGCTCAGGTTCCCGTTTCTGAAAATGTCCTTTTATCATTGAGTATGTTTAGACAGAGCATTTAAACAGTTTGCCCAAGACATATAACCATGGCTTGCTTGGTAGCAGAAATAATGTGTGTTCCTGCTTCCCTTTGTAAAGAGTTGAATTTGCCTCTGAAGTTCAAGAAGTTCAGGATTTCTTTTTGTGTGTGAAACTGGCTGCTTCTGTTTTCTCTTTACATGCCGCAGACTATAATCTAAGGCAGAAGAAATGTTGAGCAATTGGGAGTTGGTGAGTAGGGAGGATAACAGCAGAGATTGACATGACTTCCTCAGAAGAGTTATTTTTAAGTATAGAGAATGCCTATCCCCATGCTGAAAGGGCCTTTAGAAAATATTACCAGGACTGAAAAGCAACGGGGGCAAGTCCCCGCACCTGAGGTGTGCTGTTTTGCAGGGCACTGCTGCCACCTGCTGCATGCAAACAGCCATAGAGTAGCTGTTGGCTGGCTCTTGTAGCCGCCAAGCACCACATGCGTTCAGTTAATATTTTGTGAGTGTATGAAATTTTTCTTCTCTCTTAGCCTGGGCAGATTGCAAAGAAAACTCAGTCAAATCTGATGTCTCCGGGCTACAGAAATTTCTCAGTTTAAAGAACCGTGAACCAGGCCCTTGAATAACACTCAGGCAAGGCAGATTTGCTTAGTAGCCATTGATCAGGTATTTTTTTTTTTTTTTTGACAGGCAGAGTGGACAGTGAGAGAGAGAGACAGAGAGAAAGGTCTTCCTTTGCCGTTGGTTCACCCTCCAATGGCCGCCGCTGCAGCCGGCGCACCGCGCTGATCCTGGCAGGAGCCAGGAGACAGGTGCTTTTCCTGGTCTCCCATGGGGTGCAGGGCCCAAGCACCTGGGCCATCCTCCACTGCACTCCCTGGCCATAGCAGAGAGCTGGCCTAGAAGAGGGGCAACCGGGACAGAATCCGGCGCCCCAACCGGGACTAGAACCCGGTGTGCCGGCGCCGCAAGGTGGAGGATTAGCCTATTGAGCCACGGCGCCGGCTTGATCAGGTATTTTATATAGGGTAGCCCAACCCCAGTAAGAAGGATTCCAGGGTCAGTGTCATGGTACAGCAGGTTAAGCTGCTGCCTGGGACATGGGCATCCCATATCAGAGCGCAGGTTCAGTCCTAGTTGCTCCATTTCCAACCAGCTCCCTGCTAGTGTGTCTGGAGAAGCAGCAGAAGATGGCCCAAGTGTTTGGGCACTGGCCACCCACATGCGAGAACCTGATGGAGTTCTAGTCTCTGGCTTCAGCCTGGCCCAGCCCCCAAAAATGGGAACATTTAGGAGTGAACCAGCAGAGAGAATTTCTCTCTCCCTCTCTCCTCCTCTTTCACTCCCTCTCTCTCTCCCTCTCTGTAACTCTTTCTTTCAAATAAATAAAAAAAAGAAGCAAGGATTCTACTTAATGTAATTCTATTCTATGTAGCTCTGGCAAATAAATTACAATTCTCTTTTTTCCTAGTGTGAATTTTTTTTAACATTTGCTTCACTTTGATGTAATAAAATATAGGAGACCTCTAAATACTCCAAAGCTCTTAATGTTCAACAAAGTTCTATTTTATTTGTTTCTTCTTAGGTAATTTCCTCCTAATATGTCAAAGAGAGGGAGGTGATGGAACCCCCTTTCCTGGCTTGTAATATATCCTGATTTAATAGGGACACCAACTTGCGGACCAGGGTTTTCATACTATACATCCCTGCCTCTTTTTGCAGTTAAGTGGCATCATCTTGCTATACTGGGATTTTCACTGGGAAAAAGAAGAGAGGAGAGAACCCAGAGCAATCACGTCCCTTCCAGTCCTTTGGTGAGGGACTGTAAGCCCACGAGCCCTCCTGGAGACGTCACTGTTAGCAGCAACTGACCCCACGTCCAAGTGACCCGAAAAACATAGGGAGAGGGGTGGCAACAAAGGTTCAGGGAAGTCAGTAACTTCATCTACTGGCCTTTCAGGAAACATCATTAACTGAGTAGTAATGAATCAGTATGGTAATTATCGTGGCAAGGGTTTGCAGGGGTTGCGGTAGGAAACAGCCTAGCCATCCAGGAAGACAGTAGCCCTTGTTTAATCACACGCAAATCTCTCTTCCCCCTGTAGAGTGTAATATTCCGAAGGGGAAGGATGATTCCTTATGTCTTAGCACTACCCATACATAAAGACATTCTACCCAAAATTAGCTCTCCCTGGGCACATAAGAAAAATTTCCTTGGGAAAACAATTCATCCTGCTGCTTTGTCTTCAGTGTTTCATGGTGGTGCCTATATTCTCTAAATGAGATTAGGACCACAGAGCGTTTCACCAGTTGGCCATATGGTTGTACGGAGACACATATTGATTCATTGGTTTTCTTTGTCCTTTAAATTGTCCTGCAGTTTTCACCCTGGTGTATATTTTCTTAGTGTCAGAGGAATGAAGAAAGCCTACTGTTTCTGCAGCCCTGATCTGGCCAGGGATAGACATGGTGTCCTTGCATGAATAATCCGATGTTTTCACCAAAGGGTCGCTTCCCTGAAATCCAGCAGCAGTCCTTCGTAAGCAGAAGTAGCTGGGCAGATGTAACAGGCTGGGAAGCTGGTTGAGCTGGGAGATTCTCTGCCTTTGGAGTCTCACTGTTGCTGTTTTGCTCTATGTCATTTTTGGCTTAGGTACAGATAAATTCTTCTGCCATCAGCAAAAAGGAATCCAGCTAGTGTGGGGGAGACTTCCCACTCTGACCTCCAGCCCATCCCAGAAAAGCGGTGGAAAAGGAGTCCTCACTTAGTCACTCCCAGGAGCTGTGGATTTCCCCCCAAAAGAGAGATCAGAAAAAGAGGTTTGCTGGCAGCCGCGACTTACTTCTTATTATTTTCAGATTTTATTAAAATTAAAGGTGTTAATTCTTTGTTCTTTCACCCCAGAGCAACTCAGAAAAGAACACATATCTTCAGATTGAACAGCAAAACTGTTATGAAAGACACCAAGTGCACTTTTGTTAGATGACTTAAAGCTCTCGAAAAGAAACGTATGAAAAGCACACTGCAGACTGCTCTGCATGCGTTCCTTTGTTTGGACTTTAGAAGCAGCTTGACTGACAAGGAGATTCTGAGGGAGAGACTTTGGAGACTGAAAAGCCTTTTAAAGGTGATCCACAAGATTCAGAGAACAAGTTCAACATTGTTCTCTTGAACGTTATACTTAGCCCTGAACCACAATACTTTCCTGTCTGTGTTTCATTTCCTGGGGGCTTGCCAAGTGATAAACAGACCCACGCATGTGGTAGATTTGGGGTTTTGTTTTTTGTATGTGTTTTTTTTAGCACGAATAGGGTGGCTGAAGTTTGCTTAGTTAAAGACATCAATTGACTTCTGTGATGACTGTGGAAATGCTGGTGTAAGGTCTTCAGGAGACAATGGAGAAAAAATGGACATTCTGTGCTGTCTATTCCATCATCCAGATTCATTTTGTCAGGGGTAAGCCTTCTGGTTGTCCTTTCTTGTCAGAACGGCTGCTTTCAGGGCCTCTGTTCATTTAAAATGCCTTGTGACTGCTACCGAAATTGATCACCGAAGGGCAAATCGTTACTGAGGTTTTCAGTTATGTATGTAAGTGGCAGCTATTGCAGAGATGTTCGAGTTAGAAGGAGTGACTAACGAACACTGCAAACAAGAAGGGAACGAGTGGTTGGGGCCTCAGCTCCGAGGCATTTTCACCCGTTTCCTGCCTAAAAGGATCTCTGGAGTAATTGGGAAATTGTGCTTCTTGGAAGCGAAATGCTCTCCAAATGATATAACAACACCGGAAACTGAAAAAATAAAAATCATATCATCCCTGCTCAGAGAGTTGTGCTTAACTATTCTGTCTCAAATATCCCTTTTCTTTCAGATGTAACAAGCATTTCTCCTCCCAGTACCAAGGTCCTCGGGAGTTGAAAATATGTTGAATTTTAATGAGGCATGTATTGGTACAAATCCGGGAGACAAAGTGGAGTCCTAATGACAATGGGAACCAGAGCCTACAGGACCTACTTAGAAACAGAAGGAAGAAAGATTAGTTCTGCATTCCATCATGCGAGGGGATGTTAGTGAGCCTGAGTATCTTAAGAACTAACTGTGCTTTTCTGCTATAGCCAAATAGCTTTTTAAGTAGAATTTCTAAAGGAAATCATGTAGATAGCATCAGAGGCATGCAATAGGCAAAGGAGAGCTCTCACAGGAAGTTACAATAATCTAACTGCTGTCTCCCCAAACTTTTGCATCCACAAAAGTGTAATAATCTCCATTTGTCAAGTGCCTTTGAGAGTCTTGTTTCTTCTTAGTTGCTTGTCATCTTTTATCTTTTCCTTCTGTGAGCTTCTGGTGGTACTTGTCACAGTAATATATCAGTTCTGTAACAGTGTTCCATGTTAATTCTAAAACCGAGGCCAACACTATTGAATGTGTGTCAAAGGCACGATGCTTACCAGAGTTGAAGTGAGCTTTTACCACTGGGTCAGATTACTGAGGCGAGCAAGCATCTTCTCCTTTATGTTTATTATTTCAGAGTGTTAATTGAGAGGTACTGAGTGGAATTTCAATGCAGGTGTTTTCTTCCCTCTCCACCTTAAAGATCTAGCTAAATGGAAAGGATGGTCCTTTGAATCCTCATATACAGAAAGTCAGATTTCTTATCCTCATCAACTGTATTAAATTTGGAGGTTAGACAGGTTATAGAAGGATTAGTTTTTGGACAACCAAATTCATCTTCCTCTACTGGATGTGTGACTTTGAACAAAGAGCTTCATCTCTCTGATTCAATTTCCATGTTGTTGGAGGCTTAAAAACATCACTTTCATATTGTGTAAGGAGGATTAAACAATATACCATAAAAAAGCACTGTATAGATATGTACTTATGTATTTTCTAAACTTGTTGCATACACAGCCAGTATTTTTACAGTTTCAGAAAGCACTACTTGGATGTTATATTGAGCTGGTGATTTATAACCGAAAAAGTCAATTATATATTACATGTAAGAATGATTGTCTTACTAAGTTTGCCAGTGGGTTTCAATTTTTGAATAGGCTTCATTTTACTCAAGTCAGAATCCTGAAATCAGTTTTTTTTACAGAATGGTATGTATTCAGACGTCAGCAATTGCTCTAGTTTTTCTTCTCACACACATTGAGTCTATGCCTCTCTATACAGAGAACATCCAGCTCCCTTCTCACTTGCTCCCTCACCTCACTGAAGTGACCAGGTTTCAAATTAAGAGTCAACTCCATGTGAATTGTGCAAACAGATGACTCCTATCTTGCCTTTTCAGGAGTATGGGAAGAAATAGTCAACACAAGAGAAGACGTTTATGCTCTGCCTGGCTCTGATGTCGAACTGACCTGCCATATTCAGAAGAAAGATTTCTTGGTGCAGATGCAGTGGTCCAAGGTCACAGATAAAGTGGACATGATCGCCATTTATCATCCCCAACATGGCTTCTACTGTGCCCATGGCATTCCTTGTGAGTCTCTAGTGGCTTTCACAGAAGCTCCTGGAAAGGTGACAAATTGGACACTCTTCTTAAGAAATGTATCTTCCTCAGTAGGTGGAAATTATGAGTGTAGCTTTACCATGTTTCCAGAGGGCATTCAGACTAAAACCTACAACCTTCTTGTACAGAGACATGGTAAGTATAACTGGCACAGGGAAGGAAACACAAGCTTCCATTCAACTGTCATTCATTCAACAAATATATTTTATGAACCCATCATGGTGCTGAGCATAAAAAGGTTGAGAAGAAAGATGTATTGTCTGAAAAGGGAGATGGGAATTGATCAAATAAGTCCACAATTAAATGCAAAATTAAATAAATGTAAAATATATCAATTGTAACAATGAGTGTCAATCATAAGGATTATGACAGTCATGAAAAAGCATAGAACAGGTGCCAGAAATTTGTCCCCGAGGAAATAATACCTGATAGAAGTCTGAAGAGTGAGTAGACATTAGTACATTTGGGGTAGTAGTAGTGGGTAATCCAAGGACAGGAAACAACTTGAATGAATTTCCCCCATATATTGAAGGAAAATGTCAGTGGGGTTGTAGATATGGTAAGGGCCAGATCATGCCCCACTTGAAATCATATTCAAAACTTTGATTTTTGCTAATGTATGGAAAGACATTGAACAATTTCCACCAAAAGAATGGCTTTTCATTTCATAACCTTATTATATTTGTGCTATCAAAAGGTGATTCTGGATTCAGGATGAACATGGGGTGAAAGTAGAAGGAGAAGGTAGAGACAAATTAGAAGACCATCCCACTTGTCCAAAGGAGAGAAAAGAGTAGTTTGGGTGGACACAGAAAGAAAATGACATATTTTATGTATTGAGCATTAAAAAGATATGACTTGATTACAAAATGGTCATATGACCAAGGCAGTAGAATAAAAATTGAAGGTGACATCCAAATAGCTGGAATGCATACCTGTATTATGGTACCTTTCACTGAGATGAAGGCAAAGGAAGCGCATTGGGTTTGAGGGTGAATTGATAAAAGTGATGTGGGTTTATTTAGTACGTAACGGGGCCAACAAAATTGTTGGACATGGAATAGTCACATCATACATACCTCAGGGGTCTGCATTTAGAGCATGAATCCTACATTTAGGTTCTAGCTTCTTTGTGGCTAGAAATAAATTTGACTTGAGGCCTGTTGTATAAATTTTCTAAGCCCATTTGGAAAATGATGATAATGATACTTGCCTTAAATTACCTATGTTAAAGTAAGTTATTTCCATTTCTACTAAAGGAAAAGAATGAAAATGAAAGTTAGCAAATCTAAAATATGCTGGAAATGGGATATTTTAAACCTAGAGGCAAAGTGGCCTGGTAATATAAGAAAAACCAACAATAAGAACACAAAACTTATGAAGGCCATACTAAGGGAGGCATGAAGCTGCCCAAGACTAGCAACAGGTGTTGCTATATTCCTTATCTCATACCTGCCCCAAGTTATATTAGAACAGTCCACCAACAGGGAAAGATCCCATCAACTACTGTTTGACAAAGCTCTCTTTGTCAAAGCTTGTTTTTAGAAGAGAAAATTAAACCTAGTTTAATTCATAACTGAGTAGAGTGGGGTGGAGTTGATTTGAAGAGAAACAGGAGACCTATATAGAGCAATGTCTAACTGTACATACTTTGGAGGCAGGTAGCCTGAATTTTTTTTTATTTATTTAAAAGTCAGAATTACACAGAGAGGAGAGACAGAGGGAGAGAGAGAGAGGTGTCTTCCATCCTATGGTTCAGTCCCCAGTTGGCTGCAATGGCTGGAGCTGCACCCATCCGAAGCCAGGAGCCAGGAGCTTCTTCTGGGTCTCCCACGCGGGTGCAGGGGCCCAAGGACTTGGGCCATCCTCCACTGCTTTCCCAGGTCACAACAGAGAGTTGGATTGGAAGTGGAGCAGCCAGGTCTCTAAACGGTGCCCACATGGGATGGCACTTCAGGCCAGGGCATTAACCCACTGCGCCACACCGCCGGCCCCCGGTAGCCTGGATTTGAACATTGACTCTGTCACTTACTGTGCATGTGTATTGCTGTTGAGTTATTTCAAGTCTCTAACTTTTGTTGTCTTACATAAAACCTCCTTTGGGGGTACCATTAGATGACTAAATGAGATTATCTGTGTAGAGCACTTAGCACAATTCCCACCAAAAGGTAGCAGTCTGGAAATGGTAGCTTTTGTTAAGAGTAGTAATAATAATACAGAGTGGACTCTATTTCCTCAATTCTTATTTCAAAAAATCCCTCTTCCCTCTTTTTGTATTGTGGCCTAATTGGGAATCCAAATGGCATTTTCTATACATTAACACGAGTACATATTGATCCTGGCTTTGGACATACATCCTGTTCTTCCTTTCTGTATCAGTAGACAATACTATTATGTATGTGAGAATCAACCACTTCTCCACTGAGAATTAGCAACATGGACTGATGTACTCAACAGGAAATAGAGCATGTGATAATTCAAAATGAAAATAGCAGTGGAGATGAGGTAGTATATTATTCAGAAAGAAGCGTGATGCTGCCTTCAAGGAAAGCATATCCTTTGTTGTTGGAAAATTTCCTATCTTCTGATTGGTACTGTGCTGCTGATCATCTAGATCAGATGAAAGCTACTGATTTCAGGGTTACAGAAATTGTTCTGATATTGTGTTTTTGGATACAAAGGAAGAAAAATAGAAAATAGCAACATAGAAGTGAAACAAATTCTTCAACACAAACTGAAAAAAAAATGTTAAGTGTGGTATGGCACTAAGGAACAGGCACTTAACCCAGAGGAGTCAACTGCCATCGTGGAGTCCCGCTGAGTCACCACCCAACGGCAAGCCCTCTTTCTCCCCTCTGCTTGTTTTTTTCCCTTGCATCTTCTCCTCTCACTTGTATCATTCCCCTCTTATGCCTCTGTCATCTTTAAGTTTATGAACTAGTTGGGTAAGCAAAGCACACATGCAATACAAACAATTATGAAGCACATAAACAAATGCAAATTGAAGTGGTGTGTTAGAATTGAAAATGAAAATAGTGGGGGACCAGAGGCCGTTGGGTTAATCACCTCTTCCTGTTTCCTTTCTGTTGTCCTTTGAGTCATTCTCCCTTGGCTACTCACAAAACAGCGTGTGTCTAAATCCTGTTCCCATATTCCCTGGGGGCCTAACTGAGAAGGGATTCTGTTCTTTCCACAGTATTTTGGCCCTGTGTATCTTAGCTGTGGAGGAGAATGGGGATATAATAAACAGTTTGGCATTCGTTTCTTTTTCATTTTCATTGATAGATGTCCCTCCTAGTTTAGGAGATGTTGCATTATTCCAATAAATGCAGGTCTCTGAGTTAAGCCTTGGATTATTACATATACATTTCTTTTTGTTTTGTTTTGTTTTTTTGTTTTTTGACAGGCAGAGTGGACAGTGAGAGAGACAGAGAGAAAGGTCTTCCTTTTGCTGTTGGTCCACCCTCCAATGGCCGCCGCGGCCGGCACGCTGCGGCCGGCGCACCGCGCTGATCTGATGGCAGGAGCCAGGTACTTATCCTGGTCTCCCATGGGGTGCAGGGCCCAAGCACTTGGGCCATGCTCCACTGCGCTCCCTGGCCACAGCAGAGAGCTGGCCTGGAAGAGGGGCAAGCAGGACAGAATCCGGCACCCCGACCAGGACTAGAACCTGGTGTGCCGGCGCCACAGGCGGAGGATTAGCCTAGTGAGCCATGGCGCAGGCCTACATATACATTTCTATAATTTGAATGCTACTGCCTGTCATAGATTTAATATTTTTAAAATTTTTATTTGAAAGGCAGAGAGATCTCATCTGCTGATTCACTCCCCAAAATGCTCATGACATACAAAGCTGGGCCAGACCAAAGCCAGAATTCCAAAATTAAATTTGGGTCTCCAATGGGTGTCAGAGTCTCCAAATATCTGAGCCATCATCTGCTTCCTCCAAGAGTATACATTAACAGGAAGCTAGAAAAGAAAGAACCAGGACTTGAATTAGCCACTTTAATGTGGGATTCACTCATCCCAAGCACCGTCTTAACTGCTGTGCCAAAGGTTCACCCCAAGACTGTAAGATTTTGATGCATTTAGAAATCTGTAGTTATTAGGATCAATTTTAAGAGTAAAACATGGTTTTAACTCACAAAATTACATCAAAAGCCATAAAGAATTGTTAATGTTATTGGAAGGAGTATTAGTAATGGGAGTACTAGGAAGAGAAGTAATGATAATACAAGTAGTAATAATAGTATCAATATAATCCTACTAATATACTGTTGATAAGCTAACACATAAAAATTGTCTGTCTGGAGACCAGTTTGTTATTGAATTTGAATGTTGACTTACCTTAAATTCTTGTGTTTGGTCTTTATCTTACAACTGTTTTTTGAGTTCTTAAGAAGCAAGGTATCAAGGACACAGCAGTGTGCAATACAGGCATATCATGTCCTCCCGAAGTCCAATCAGAGGACACAGACATTAGTCAAATAAACAGACAAATGCCAAACTGCAATAGTGAGAAGTGTTCTTGCAATGAGGAAGTAGACAAGATGTGAGAGCCTATCACGGGAAAACCAGGAACGATTTCCTGCCAAGTACTGCTCAAGCAAGAATTAATCAGGAGAAAGTGGAGAGCACAGACATTTACAGCATGGAACAGGACGTAGAAGGCTCTGTGATAAGAGTAAGTTATGGTACTGGATTATTCCAAATCTTTGGTACAAAATGGGGAACTTGAAGAGGAATTATGACTGGAGCACAGGGATTGAAGGAAAGAAAGTTGAAGATGAGACTAAAGAGACTGGTTACTTCAGTGAAGTGGTTTAGTTTTAATCCTAACAGTGGTAGAAAATAATTGAAAACATGGTTGTTTTGATTGGCTTTTTGGTTGTTTTGTTTTAAGAATGCATTTTGGTGGCCAAAGTTCAGGAAATTAATTGTGAACGGTATAGAAGATAGAAAAAACCAATTAGAAGGCGATAGCCGAAATCTATATGAGAAATGCTGGTAATATTTAGGAGAGCCATGTGAAGTACTTAGATGTGAAGTTGAGACATGGGAAATATCAGATAACCAGATGGATATACAATTCCTGATTGAAGGAGGATGTGTAAATTAAAGATACAAATTGATGAGTCACCTAAGTATATGTGGTAACTACATAATATGGCAGTGAAAGAAACCATCCAGGAAGAGAAAATCAAGTGAGGAATGTAATGCGGTGCTTTAACAGAGTGATGAATGGGCAAAGACGAGTCTTCAAAGGATAAAGAGTAACCAAAGAGGCAAGAGTGAAGTCAGGAAAGAATGAGGTCATGGAAATCTAGAAATAAAATAGTGCATACAAGAAAGAATAATTCATTCTGAGGTTTCTGAGATGACAAAATGATTATTGCATCATACATAGAAACATAGAGGTTACTGTCACCTAACAGGAGCTGTTCTGATGGCATTGTAAACTGGAAGTCGTGTTACAGAGAGAGAAGAGCAGTGAGTAGGAAGCAAGGAAATGGGGACAATGAGTTTTGACACAACTTCCAAGAAATTGGTCAATAGCAATGGGAAAGTATGAATGTCCAAATGAAGGTCTTATTTGTCTTATTATTGTAGTGATTTTAATTAATGTAGAACACTTGGCTGCAACAGGCCAACAGGCAGGATCGTTTTGAGAAAGAGTAGCTAAGTACACCATGGAGAAGGTAATCAACTAAGGTTTTTAAGAAGATTCATTATAAAGGTAGTCTGACTAACCTGAAGGGGGAAATAAAGGACAGCTATTTTGAAACTGCAACTGGAGAGAGGGAAAATAGAATGAGACTATATGATATGGGGTGGAGAATGTTGTCTAAAATATAAAACAACAATTTTAAACTACAAAAGGAAGTAAGTTTTGGTGAAGGAGGCTGCAAAGTGTTTAAAGTAAAGCTATGGAGAGGGGAAAATGAGTTCACTAAGTAAATGTATTTTTATAATAAATAATGTTATGTGCTGGGCCATTTTTTCTTTGAATATTTAAATACGTGTTCTACTCCCTCCTCTTTCAGCTCTCTTTTGAGAACTCCTGTTACTGATGTGTTAGTACACTTGATGTTGTCCTATATTGTTCTGAAGCTCTGTTTATTTTCTACCAATTTTGACCTTCAGAGTAGATGATTTATTTCAACCAAAGTTCAAAAACACTGATTCTTTCTTGTGCCACCTCAAATTTGCTGCTATGCACCTATAGTGAAGTTTTTGTTTTTCTTATTGACTTTCCAAATCTAGAATACTCATCTGTTTCATTTGATAGTTTTGAATTTCTCTGGTAACATTTCCTATTTATTGAGTCATTTTCATTGTATTTTCTTTAATCACTTGAACATACTTATAATAGCTGCTTTGAAGTCTGTTAAATTCAACATTCGGGTTCACTTAGAGTCAGTTGCAATCAAATAATCTTTGTCAGCATGATTCACTTTCTTGTTCCCTTCATTTCTTTTTGTTGTTGTTGTTGTTGAAAATGGATTCTTACATATATACAATGTATATATTTATATATGTATATAGAGTTGTTTTATAAATTATAGTAGCTTATCTGTATGTAAATTATAAAATCTCTCTCCTTTGTAATTTGTGGCTATTGATGTCTCTGCTCTGTTTTTTATAATTCTTACTTTTCAGTTTGTATTTCAAGGAGTTGCCTTGCATTGGCAAAGTCTTTTGTGGATCTATCAATAATTTTGGTTAAAGTTGTACTCAAGCACCTTACTCCTTTAGGAGTCTGCTCTTAGATGTGGGGTGGGGGGGGGATACATTGTGTGTGGATTAGGGAGCGCTTGTATGTTGGTTAGGGCTACATTGTGTGTGCAACTGACAGTTGCAGCCAGTTATCCTTGGCTTTCAGGATGGAACTTCTCAGGTCTCCTCATTGAAGTGGGGAAAACCTATCACCTCCTAACACCACCACAATAGGAACATTTTGCATTTTGGAAGACAGAAACTTTCAAATTATAGCCCACATGAGCCATTTACTCCATATGGGGCTACAAACTCGAGTTTATCAACTTTTAGTTGCTTTCTTTTTCTTACCAAGTTTGCTCCTGTGAGAGGACAAATCAAAGGGTTTTTGCCTCCATTCCTAATTGACATTTGTCATTTTTGGAGGAAAAGTCACTGGTCGATGCTAATAAAATTACATATCTCAGCGACTAAACTAGAGATAGGAATGGATAGAGCCCTAGACATGAAGACTGAAAAACACCTGCTGTTTTTACTGAAGCTCTAGTGAGTGGCTTTTCATGAAGAAATGGTTACTCAAATTAATGTTTACCTTAGGCTATACCTAGGGACTGAAATGCTTGCTTTTAACACATTTGCCCAGTGCTAGACTTGTATTTTTTCACTGAGCACTTCATGCCCCTTAACCAGAAATCTTTCAATGCTACTCCTCATTTTTATGTTTATATTGTATATTATTTTAAATATATTCATTACTACTCCCTTGTTATAACAAGTATTTATTCTCTATACTAAAAGAGTACACCATCAACAGTTGTCACTAGCCCCTGTGTAAGTCTTTCTCCAGTATGAAATGTGCTCATTTGGAGAATCCTCAGGAACTGCTCATGAAAGCACTATTTTTTGATTTCTTGCATGGCCCTGACATTTTTTTGGTGGCTTCATATCAAGAGATTATTAATTTTTTAGGACACAAAATCCATGATGCATATTTTCTCTTTTGAGCATATTGGATACTTTATTTCATTATTTTCTGACATATGGCTACTATCAAAAAGATAATACCACCCAGTTTGCTTCCCCCATAGTTGACTCTGTTTTATACTTTTATCGGAATATTCTTAATGTTGTGCACTTTGGGTCTATTTTCCTGCTTTTTCAGTATAATCTTTTAATATGTATTTTCTATTATTTTATGTTCAAATAAGTTTTTCTTGAATTATAGGTTTTAGTATTTGTTTTGTTTCATTGCTTTAATTTTTCCTTTAATGGTTTCTACTATATATGCTATATATTTTGTCTTCTTTGCATATTTGAATTTTTATGCTTTTATTTTAAAATCATTATTAATTGCAAATTTTCTCCCATTCCATTTTAAAATTTATTTTAGTGCATTAGTTTTTGTATTTATATATTTTCTAGTTTGGTCTTTATCTCTGGAAAAATTTTTAAAATTATTATTTCCAATCCTGTCTTGAATTCTGTCACCCGTCTTTTGTAAGCTTTCTTTTTTCCAATAGACTCATTTACCAGTCTTTCCAAAATTTTCCACAGCTTTTATTTGAAAATTTTCTTTTAGCTCATTTTGAATAATTAGGGTGTAGTTTGTATTTATTTTGTGGTCATGTCTTGCTTCTATGCTGTCACTGTTGTAGGAAAATTATTTTGTTCTCTTTTCTCCTTTTTCGAATCTTTGCAGGATGATTCTACCTCATTCCGTTTCTATTGTTCATGTTTAGGCCAGATGAACTTCTATTCTTAAGGTAGAAGGGAGAGCCAGACCAGCTCTTCTAGTCTCTAGTGTCTCTAGAGCCCCCTCTTCTGTTACGTTCCAGGTACTTCTGTACTTCCTTTGTTTCTGTCCCTCGCTTTAATCCAAATGTTCTCTTTGGTTTCTGCTATTGCTCCACTAATTTGGATTCAGTTCTTTGGGGTTTTTTCTCAGTGTGGGACATGTCCGGAGATGCACCATCTGTTCCAGCACTGATAATATTTTCTTGTTTCCCTTGAAAACACTGGTGATTTGATGCCTGCAAACTGCCTTCTCCATTGCTATTCTCAGCTTAGTGTGCCTGTCTTGGTGATTACCAATTATTTGTTGAGTGGTCCATTTTCTAACTCTAAGAGACATAAGAAACCCAGCTGATTTTCCTGTTTCTTTCTGCACACTTGCTGATACCACAATGATCTAATGGCTCTTTGCCACTTATTAGTGGGGATATGTTATTATTTAATGTTCATGTAGATACTGTTCATGTTGTTTTAGTTTTGCTGTCTTAGTTACTTTGTTTTTATAGGGAATTCTCAAAAAATGCCACTTTTTACTGCTAATTTCCTATAATCTGAACATAATTTACAAAAATTTAAGACTTATGTACTTAATGTATTTATGTACTATAATATAATTAACACATTGAGAGGATTTCATGGGCTTCACAAATTTTAGTGCCTGTATAAATATCTGGTTAAAACATAATTATGTTAATAAAACAAGGACAATAATTTCAAGAGTAAAATTAAGAAGTAGAAATGGTGATATGGAATACAGCCCCAAAATGTGATATTGGTGCACAAATCAGAAGTAATGTAATAGTTAAATACCTTTAAGCAGCAGAGCTTCTTAAAATAAATCATGGGGCTTGAGTAATACAGTTGTCTCTCCATATCTTCAGATTCTGCACCTGCACATTCAATTAGTAACAGATCAAAAATATTTGGAAAAAAACAGTTTTTACTAAACATGTACAAACATATTTATTGTCGTTATTCCATAAATCATACAGTATAGCAAGTAATTACATAATATTTACATTGTATTAGATATTATAAATAATCTAGAGATGACAAAGTATTCAAGAGTTGGCAGGAATTTAAAACAGTGGTTAAAATGCCCATATCCTATATCAGAAGACCTAGATTCCACCTGATTATAATCAGGTCCCTCTTATCAGTTTCTATTTGCCTCCTAATGGGAAAACTTCTTCCTGGTGTAGACAACTCCTTTCTTAGGTCCTCTAATAATGACCCTGTCCTTTGTTTTAGTCCACTAGGATTTTAATCTTCTTGTTAGATTCACTTTCTCCAGACTTGAAACAGTGAAATTCTAGATGGCCATGCACATGAAACCTCAGATGCAAGCAATTTCTGCAAGTTGGCACCAGCACCCCCACCTGCTTCTGGAACCCTGTCTTAACTGCTACTCTGCCCCTACTCAGCTTGATGAAGCCAGAGCTGTCATCATCCCGTATTCCCTAACAGAAGATAGGCTCCATTCTTCCAGGAGAGAGAATATGTAGGGAGTTAGGTTAGTGAGCAGTCAGGTGTTCCTGGTGGAGGTTTAAATGCACTTGCCTTCCCTAGAGGTTGTCTTTAGCAAGGTCAAAAGTGCCTGCCTGCCTTATTTCCTTAGGAATTTCCAATCTTATCATGAGAATAGCCTGGGACTGTGGATTCCCGCTGAGTTCCCAGTTTACTGTAAAGCAAATTAAGCATCCCACCTGTCTGAAGGCTCTTTTTGTTTTATAGTGAACAAGCCAGACAGGATAAAAGATTGCAAATCAAGTCTTTTGATGGGTTTTGTCCCCGCCTTATAATTGAATGTCAAGTTTTTTTTCTTCCCTAAAATTGTGCTTACATCTTCAGAACCATTAGCCCCTTCAGGTTTTCCCTCTCTTGGAGCACCCTACTTCACTTACTCTGGCTGGGAGTCTCTGACTAATAAATCTTGCTTTCAAGTAACTTACTCCTTCAATCTAACTCTGATTTTATATTCATTATCCAAACTCCAAATTCTATCTCCCCTACCATTTCTAGCTTATAGTAATCAGTATTTTGTGTTCAGATTGAGATTTTTTTTTTATTTTCCACATATGAGGGGGGACATGTGGCATTTGACTTTCTGTGTCTGACTTATTTCACTTAACGTGGTATCCTCCAGTTGCCCCTCTTCCAGTCCAGCTCTCTGCTGTGGCCCGGGAGTGCAGTGGAGGATGGCCCAGGTGTTTGGGCCCTGTACCCCATGGGAGGATCAGCGCGGTGCACTGGCCGCAGCATGCTGGCCGCAGCGGCCATTGGAGGGTGAACCAATGGCAAAGGAAGACCTTTCTCTCTCTCTCTCATTGTCCACTCTGCCTGTTCAAAAAAATAAAAGAAGCTACATCTAAAATATTTTTTGACAGGCAAAGTTAGAGAGAGAGACAGGGAGAAAGGTATTTCTTTCGATGGATCAATTTCAAAGCCCGATGCGCCAGATTTCTGCGGCCAGCGCACTGCACTGATCCGAAGCCAGGAGCCAGGTGCCTCTCCTGGTCTCCCATGCGGGTGCAGGGCCCAAACACCTGGGCCATCCTCCACTGCCCTCCCGGGCCACAGCAGAGAGCTGGACTGGAAGAGGGGCAACTGGGACAGAATCCGGCGCCCTGACCGGGACTAGAACCCGGTGTGCCGGCACCGCAGGTGGAGGATTAGCCTATTGAGCTTCAGTGCTGGCCAATGATTCAAATTTTTAAAACTGAAATATGCCACATAGTAACATGAGAATGCTCCCATTAATAATATTTCTGGGAATTTATCTTAACTAACATTATAGTAAGTACTATCATTGCTAAATACCGTATAATGGTTTAAAATTTTTTAAAACACTGAAAGAGGGCCAGCACTGGGGCGCCATATTGGCGCCAGTTCATGTCCCAGCTGGACTTCGTCTGCTGCAGCTCTCTTCTGTGGCCTGGGAAAGCAGTAGAAGGTGGCCCAAGTACTTGGGCCCCTGAACCTGCATGAGAGGCCCAGAAAGAAGCTTCTGGCTCCTGGCTTCGGATTGGCTCAGTTCCAGCCAGTGCTGCCATTTGGGGAGTGAACCAGCAGATGAAAGACCTTTCTCTATCTTTCTTCCACTGTCTGTCTGTAACTCTACCTCTCCAATAAATAAATAATCTTTAAAAAAAAACTGAAAGCCAACAATGATTTAACTAGAAATGATGAAAAAAATTATTAGGGCTCTACATGATTGAATTTCATTAAGTCTCTAGATTGACAAATAGCTCAAGAGTGATGCAAAATATTTTTGCATAAGAATATAGTTAATATTTATTGGTAAGTAGAATTGTACATGTACACAAAAAAGATACATATGAGTAAAGATAAAATATATAAGACTTCTAACATGTTAGGATGATAAAGTTGCTTTCATTTATAAACTGTGCTTTGATGCCATTTTGGCTTAATCACAAATGTGTATGTATGTGTGTATATCATTCCCAAAGGGGGGGACTATAAATTGGATATTCATCTCACATTATTTTAAAATGAAAGTGGTTCATTAATAATATGGATTCATAGTTTCCTTACATTTTTTCCTTATCATTTCTTTGTTGGCGAAAAGTTCATAAGCTCTAAAAATATTATTAAATATGAAGACAGTGGAAGCATTGGGGTGCTATGAGTTGCAGAAAGAAGGGATGAATGGGAGCAGCACAGGACTTTTAGGGCCATGAAACCACTCTGTGGTATGGCAATGATGGATATAGGCCATGATACATTTGTCAAAGCCAAATAGAAAGATCCATGCTAAGAGTAAACCCTATGTAAACTGTGGACTTTGGATGATAGTTCAGTGTAGGTTCATGAATTATAACGAATGAGCTACCCTGGCTGTGGGTGGGTAGGGACAGGAGGTATACATACATAGGGAGTCTCTGGACTTTCTGCTACATTTTAATATGAATGCAACACTGTTCTAAAAATAAAATCTGTTAAAAAAGTTAAAGAAGATAATTAAGAGACTAGATTATAAAATTTTATATTCTATCTTATCAAGGAAAAGTTAAGATTAGAATTGTCAATTTAGAACAAACAATTCAAACTATAAAGTACATTCTATTAGTGTGCTTCCCAGTAATTTTTCAGTAATAAGCCACTCTCAGTGGCTACATTTTGCCATCTATACAAGGAGGACAATAGGGAGGGCTTTGGCTTTTAAAGCACTTTACAAACTAATTAAACATCCACGTGTTTTCTCCCTTTGTTTTGTTATAGTTACACAGGATAAATGGAGAAGCAATCATACAATAGAAACAGAGATGAATCAGACTCTGAAAATACCATGCTTTCAAAATAGCTCTGCAGAAATTTCATCTGAATTCACTGTTGCCTGGTTGGTGGTAAGTGTTGCCCTTTTCAGTAAATAACTGCAATGGTCTTTAAATATTAATGAAGTAAAATGACTATCAACTAATAATAGAAAAGGGAGCATCCTGGATGAGAGGCACGCATTGTGCTGGGGGAAAGAGGAGGGCAATGGGAGGGCGGAGTGGACACTAAGTTTCTACTTACAGGCAAGCCTCAGGTCTGTGAATGCAGTGGACTAAATCAGAATTAGCTCATTGCAATCTGTATAAAATTATCCCTGTGCATAAACTACTGAGAGGAGATGGCTTAGAGACTAGATAAAATTAATTATTATCTGGTAATATACTATTACATTGTCACTGGCTCATTGAAAGAAATTATGAATGACTAATTGACCAAAAAACCTGTATATGGATGAAATGGTCATTTTCCCCTCATTTCTAGTTTATAACCACTGTCTATATTTCCATTAAATTAGGTTCCTTTTATTTTTTACCTGTGAAATGTCTTCTTTGGTGAAGTTTTAAACCTTTTTACTATAACATAAGTTTTAAATAAGCTATCTAAAAAATTTTTAAAAAGACAATAAGAAAGGTAGAAGTAAGGAGAGTGGGAGGGAATAAGGGAATATTGTTATGTTCTTAGACTTGTATCTACAAATCATACTGAATCTGTTAAAATTAATTACAATGAAATATAAAAAAAAACATATTTTTTCATTTCAAAAAGAATTAGCTCCTGAATGTCAATTTCTATATTGAACTATGTACCAAATTGTGATGACTATAGTTCATAATAACTTACTATGTATTTTGCAAGCATACAGAAGAAAGGGTCTCCAAGACTCCAGTGATAAAGTAATATCAGAAAAGAGGAAATGTTTATTTACCAGTACACATTCTATACAAGTACTGAAATATCTCACTGTAACCCATAAATGTATGCAGTTATTTTTAGTAAAATAAATTATTTTAAACACAAAGAGAACAGAGTGAAATGGTGCCCTTGATACACACCACTTCAAGTAGAAGGCCCTACTCAAAAATATTTGTCTTTTAAACAACATAGGCAGAGCTATGGATTCCCTTTTCCTGGAAACCTTGAGACTGAGTCCTAGAAAATATACAACATTGATTTAGACTGGTAGGACAAACTCTAATGCTTATAAAATGCAAGTAAAAAATATACATGAGGGAAGCAGGACTTTTAAAAACACAGTCACTGATCATTTCTATTCATTTTGCAGGTGGCCTCAGGCCCACAGTCAACATGCTTTCTAACTTTTATCTAAAGCCATAAATCTAGAATGTTATGAAGAAGTTTCTAATTTTAAAAATGTTGTACAGAGTAAAAATAAGTAGTGGCTTATTATTTCGATAGAACAAATTACTTGGACACTTCAATATAAAATATTGTTAAGTTAAATAACAATAAGAGATTAGGAAAATATTAATAACTATTAACATGCTAAAATGGATTTAAAAAGAGAGAGAAATCTATATGCTGCCTATAAGAACACATCTCACCAACAAAGATACACATAGACTGAAAGTGAAAGGATGGAAAAACATATTCCATACAGATAGAAATAAACACCAAGCAGGAGTAGCTATCTTAATATCAATTAAAATAAACTTTAAGACAAATGCTGTTGGTGCCAGCATTGTGGCATAATAGGCTAAGCCACTGTTTGCAATGCTGGCACCCATATGGGCACTTGTTCAAGTCCCAGCTGCTCTACTTCTGATCCAGCTTCCTGCTAATGCTCCTGGGAAAGCAGTGGAAGACGACCCAAATGACTGAGCCACTGCACCCATGTGGGAGACCTGGATGAACCTCCTGGTTCCTGAATTTAGCCCAAGCCTGCCCAGCTGTTGCAGCCATTTGGCGAGTGAGCAAGGGAACAGAAGTTGTATCTCTCTCACTCTCTCTTAAACTCTGCCTTTCAAATAAAAAGAACTAATTCCAATCATTCTTAAACTATTCAAAATAATTGAAAGGGAAAGAGTCTTCCCAAACTCCTTCTATGAGCCAGCATCATCTTAATTCCAAAGCCAGAAAAAGAAAAAAAACTATAGACCAATATCACTGATGAAATAGATACAAAAATCTTCAACAAAATACTAGCTAATTAAATCCATTAACATCAAAAATATCATCTGCCCAGACCAAGTGGGACTTTTCCGAGGGACACAGAATGGTTCAACATACACAAGTCAATAAATGTGATACATCACATTAACAAATTGAAGGAAAAAACCATGATTATCTCAACAGATGTGGAGAAAGTATTTGATAAAATATAACATTGTTTCATAAAAACAAAACTATAAAAAAAAGTGTATAGAAGGAACATTCCTCAACATAATCCAGAAAGTAAGACAAACTCTCAATCACAATCATATTTTTGTCAAAGTTTATTTATTTATTTGAAAGGCAGAGTTACAGAGGGGCAGAGAGAGAGAATTCTTCCATCAGCTGGTTCACTCCCCAGAGAGCTGCAGCTGCCAGAGCTGCACTGATCTGAAGCCAGGAGCCAGGAGCTTCTTCCAGGTCCACCATGCAAGCGCAGGTGTACAAGGACTTGATCCATCTTATACTGCTTTTCTAGGCCTATATATAGCAGAGAGCTGGATCGGAAGTGGGGCAGCAGGGACTTGAATGGGCACCCATATGGGATGCTGGCACTGCAAACAGCAGCTTTATCCACTATGCCAGAGCACTGACCCCAAAATCATATTGAATGGGGAAAAAACTGGAAACATTTCCACTAAAATCTAATGATTTAAATCATTAATTAGATTTAATCTAATTAATCATTGTACAACACATGAAGGACAGAGATCCTACATGGGGAGTAAGTGCACAGTGACTCCTGTTATTGACTTAACAAATTGACACTCTTGTTTATGGCATCAGTAATCACCCTAGGCTCTTGTCATGAGTTTCCAAGGCTATGGAAGCCTTTTGAGTTCACCGACCCAGATCATATTTAGATAAGGTCGTAGTCAGAGTGGAAGTTCTCTTCTTCATAGGATTTGATTTCCAAGAGGTGAGGCATCCTGGGCATGATGCCTATTAATATGTAAATTAATTTCTTAAGCATGATATATTTTGGTTCTTAGAAAAATGTTCAAAGTGATGATGATTTGGGAGTGAAAGGCCACTACAAAACACACTAAACACCAGAGTTAAAGGAAAAGTTTATTTTGTGGGGGAGAACCATCAGGCTGGATTGAGAGGGTGAGAGAAAGAGGGCATGTGTAGGAAAACGGATCTTATTATAGCTTTGCAGAGGTAAGGAAGTAGGAACAGCAAATCCCATTAGGGTGGGATGGAGCTGACACTTGTGGTTGAGTGATTTAGTCACCTGTCTTCTAGTAAGCCAGGCTAGGCCTAGCACTGAAGCTTACTGTACAAGATGGTGACTGGGCCAGAGCCTAAAATGGTGTCCAAGGTTTAAGATGTCACCTCAGATAAGATGGTACCAGTTTACTAACATTCCTCCATTTTGTTTTTAATAAAGCAAATGTTGTATGGGATTACATTGACCCCAAAAGCCCAGAAGGGGTGGAGAGATGATGATCTATCTTCTAGAGCTACTTTCTACTGACATGGAACAATGAGTCACTCTATGCTGGCATGTGGCAAGGTCTCAGGTCTCAATTTCCTGAGAACTAGGGAAAAGAAAATATCTTATTGGACCTGGCTAGAAAACTGAAAGAGAGTCACCAATTAAACAAGAGCTATCAAAAAGAGATGCTGCAGGTTTTAAGTAGATTTTTAATATGATTTCCAAATACTTACTAATATATATGTATTGCAAAAAACCTCATTGCTTTAACAGAGGATCAGATTCTAATTTTATGTCAAAGAAAAATAGATAGCCTTTGTATCCAAAAATTTCTTTCTTTCATAACCTTCTATAACTTCCAGACACCTTCTGCAACTTACTTAAACCTTTCTTTTTAATTCCAGTCTAGAATAAACTAGCCATCAGGATAAAGTAATTGTTACACATCATGTCCTTTTTTATTCAAAAAGTAAACTCTTTTCTTCTTAACATCCCTTATCAAGAACACATTTCTATACTCGTGACCTTTCCATCTGTTGATTTCTTTGATTTACATTTTGAAATAACCGTTTAAAAATTTCAAAAATTTCCAAATTAAGACAACATTTCTAAATAAGATAACACATCAGATTTAAGCTTTTAGTTATATTCAAGTTTTTAGTTACATTCAAGCCATGTTGAACTATTTCTCATAGACAGTTTATGAAAACATATTTGTTAACAAACCCAAATAGTTTTTCTATAGAATATAAGGTGCTAAGAGTACCGTTATTTACATTTGGACACATTTATCATTTGCCTTTACCTAATTTACATTAACAATTACACCTAGATGACTGAAGATGTGGTCAGGACCACAGCTATACCTATGGAATGGGCTGGGTCAGTTTGATGAGTCTCACTGGCATGGAGTTGGACCTGTTCCCAAAATCGACTTTGCTTCTATGGGAGGAGGGTATTAGAAAGGATCATAAAAACATAAAGTAGGAAGTGGAGTTGGAGGCAAAAAACCTAGTTTTTGTTTGACTTGTGACAGGTCACTGAGTGAGAAGGAACATGGATTCTGACTATGCCCTCCACTCCCATCACCTCCCGTAGGGGTAACAGAGAGGTGGGCTCTCTGGCTGCCACACGAGAGCAAGTGACTCAGGGACTAGGGGTAAGAGACAGGGTTTGGGGGTTTGAGGAACCAGCAGTAAGGCAGGGACAGTATGTTGGATCAGTAGAATGGGGAGGGTGAAAGTTGGAACAAGGACTGGGTTCGAGATAAAGCAAAGGGCACAAGAGAAATAGAAATGGACAAGTACTGGTTTTGAGATAAGGGCAAGCAGGAGACTTGAGATGAGGCAAGGGGAGTAGAAACAGTTGCAGCCTCCTGGAATGCCTGGGCAGGAGGGACAGGTACTGATGAGCTAGAGCCAGAGTGGATGGTGCCAGAGCTGGCAGTGGGCTTTAATG